ATGGTGCTTTGCCCCCCATGCCGAGCAAAACCTGGTCATTTCTTGACTGGTAAATTGGGGACTAGTCAAGAATCTGACACAAGACTTTGTGGAACTCCAAAACGTGTAAATATCTCCTCCCTTAGTATAGTGGTGAGTATCCCCGCCTGTCACGCGGGAGACCGGGGTTCAATTCCCCGACGGGGAGCCAATCCCCCCCCCCAGCCGGAGGCACAGGAGATTGAACTCCAAAATAGGGCTTTAAGTTAACCACATTAACTGTATCTGTTCCTTTGTCCTGGTCCTTCCACTGAAGCTGATAGTTTACTGGGCCTAACTGTTTCCTCACTATAGCTGGCCCTGACCACTTTGGCGCTAGCTTTGAGGAAAAACTATCTATGGCTTTGGAAAGAGGATGAGACCTTACCCAGACCAAATCTCCCGACCGGAACTGTACACCTCTCCTCCGGGCATTATAAGATTTGGCGTGTCGGGTTTGGCTTATCCCAACTTTCCTTTTGACTTCCTTCATCTCATTATGTCGTTCCAACACTTTGTATTCGGTTTGCTGAGGTGAAGGAGGCTTGGATATCATTCTCTCCAATGGTCCTTGAAGTTGACGTCCCAACATTAGCTCCGCAGGGGCTCGTCCCGTGGTTTCATGTTGAGCCCCATTGATGGCAAAACGGAACTCCCATATATGTTGGTCCCATAGATGGTGATGCTGTCCAACAAATGAGGCTATCATTGTTTTGATAGTTCGATTAGCCCGTTCAGTCAAGTTAGCTTGGGGATGATAGCTGGTGGTAAAATGGTGCTTTACCCCCCACGCAGAGCAAAATCTGGCCATTTCTTGACTGGTAAATTGGGGACCCCGATCTGAGACAAGACTTTGTGGAACTCCAAAACGAGTGAATATCTCCTCCCTTAGGATAGAGATGAGTCTCTGTGTCTTACTGTGCAGCGGGAGTTTTGGCCTTATCCTTAGTGTCTGTTTAATCCAAAGAAAAGTAACAAAAAGATAAAACATCGATTAAGGTTCGATTAAGGTTCGTCCCAGCGCCACAGATCGGGCCCGGAAGCCTGGACCGGAGGGTGCACCGAGGGAACGCCGCCCGGTGCAGAAGGACGACGACAGTCCATGGAGGAAACCACCGGGGGGGAAAAGGGACGCTCCCGGTGAGATCTGGACTTTATTTTTCTTTTGGGGGGTTTTTTGGGTGGTACCACTCTTCTTTTTTCTCATCTTTTTGGGGTTTTTTGACGTTTTGAATTTTTCTTCGGGAAGAAGACGGGGATTAATACGGAGCGACGCTTCCAGGTCGTGGTTGGATTTGAATGTATGGGACTCCTTTATGGACAAAAAGATAAAAAAGGAACAGGACTTTTGGGATTTTCTATTTTTTTTAAGTGTGGTTTGTGAATCGGCCTGACAAGGCAAATCAGACTCTTGATATTTTGGGGGGTTTTGATGTTGATTTAGGTTGATTGACTATTCAAATTTTGGGTTTCTGAATAAATTATTTCTGGTGCAAACCTTTAATTTCATACTGAGTGGGTGAACATTTGTTTTTTATCAAACTGATTCTGGTAACACTTTTAACCTTTACCTGGAACAAGATCCCCCTTGTGTGTTTCTTTGTGAGTTCTGCTTTAATCAAGCCGGAATATTACAATGTGAGATGTAGAATCTGAAAGTTTGTCTCTAAAACACAAACTGTTTTATTCAAGGTGCTAGCATCCCAGGAGTGTGCAAGCACACACGCGTGTGCGCACGCTCTCTTACGTTGTAAATCTTGTGGAGCCCTCGGTGAGGCAGAGGAATCCTCTGCTGCAGCCTCAGGTCTCCACTGATGAACATCTTCGCTCCGGGCACCGGAGACGAGTGTTGCACAAACGCAAGGCTCTGCATCACTACAGTGGACTTCCGCTGGAGAAGAAAAGGGATAATATAAGAATAATCTCTGCTGCATCCTTATTTTTATTTTTTTGGGTGGATGGTTTACTATTATTTACTACATATTAGGTAAAAAGATGTAATTTACGTACAAAGAGCTGGTAGCTGAAGGTGAGCAGCAGCTGAATACTGTATACGTGTTCATCAGATTTCAGAGGAAGCTGCAGCTGAAATGACAAAAGGTCCAACTTTCCATCTTGGTTCTGGTCCTCTTCTCTCACCTGTGATGTAGATCCATAAAGAAATAGAAGAAATAGGGTTTGTCTAAGTATGTTACAGTTTCCTAACCTGAACACGATAAGATGGAGACTGAACAAGGCATGTCGTTTTAAACACCGACTGATGTCAAGAAGGGCAACAGATGAGCCAATTGTTTCAAAGAAAAACATAAAGTGTTGATTTATATTCTGCACAGAGCACTAGAAGATGACTGGAATAGAGTTATTTCCTCTCAAGAAACCTTGTCTGTCTGGAAAGTCTGAAAAAGAAAGTCTCTCTGGACATGCCGTGTAGATAGTAAACATCTCTCCTTCTTCAAGAAAGTGGGCTAACTCGGTTTTTTATAGAAACACGCCAGTGAATAAAGAAAACATCATCCAAAAGCAGCTTTGGTCAATGGTCCAAAAGCAAAATGGTGAACTCATCAGATCTAGATCTAAACCTGTCCTGAGAGGAAACTAAGTAGTGATGGAGCAACACGGCCAGATGGTGCAAAAGGAGCATTAAAAAACAAAGGCAGACACTCACATTATTGAAGCTTTGCATGTGGTTGATGCCTTTCTCTTTTGAGGTCATAAAATTGCTACTAAACTTCAGTGTACAACAGAAACATTGCGCAGGAAAAGATCACACTGCATCCTTTATAAAAGCTGTTAAAGTTGTGATATCACCAGTAAAGCAACCCAGCGTTTTGTTCTTACAGAGACAGCGGGAATCCTTAAGTTGGTCCCAAGCATGTTGTTGAGATGAGGAAACGTGCTCCAGGCAACGTAGTCTCCTTGTAAACTGGTGGCTGCGAACAGCAGCGTTTGGTACTGGAATCTCACCACTGGCTGTTCTTCATAAGTTTTTCTCTTAATCCAGAAACCTGAAGCAGAAACGACAGCTCAGAACTGAAAATGCATTGTCCATCTGTACATTTCACTACAGTTTCAACATTTATTTCATAATAATATTTCAGAATTTGCCCTTCATATGCACACTCTAAAAGATCCTCAGAAGACGCAGTCAGCACATTCACCAAGTTATGTCCAAGACTTTTCAATAAACAGATGAAACCGACATTTAATTGGTATTTATAATTGGTTTAATAGTCACTCTGAGGCACGAAATAAAAAAACTTGACCTAAAACTCTACAAATTGCAGAGTGTTATCATTCATTAAACAAAAGTTAAGAAAAAATGGGCAAACTGCAAGAAAAAACCCGAGCGCATCTCATGATGCCACACTTCCAGCCATCTAATGCTCACATTGTTGCAGTAAAATGTTGGTATGCTCTTATTTAACTCTTCTCCAATTCACTGAGGTTTCTTTCACATTGTCTGAACTTTGACTAGGCCTCTAGAAATGTCTTGATCTCATTTTACAGCGATTGTGTCGTGGATTTGCTCCTGTTTTTAGTTGAATTGTTCTCAGTTTACCGAGATTTAGCCATCGTCACATTTGACCACTGAGGTGATTGTTCTGGTGTGCTGTGCTAGTTTTCATTTTTGCCAAAAACCTCTAGTTTGTTGAAGCAGTCTTGAAGTAGTCACATGCAACTTTGCAAATCCATGTGATGCTCCTTTATAATAGGGGTTTGCAACTCCAGTTCTCGACCTAAACCATTTATTTTGTATTTTTTATCCTTGTTCCCAGCAGTTATGACAGAGTATTATCGGCGAATAACACATAGGGACAGGAGCAACATAAAAAAAAAACACCACTGTACCTTGGCTTCTGTAAGCGACCAGCAGAGGCGCGATGTATGTGAGGCACAGAACGACCACCAGGAACAGGGTGGCCTTGGTACAAACGCTGGTTCGGTACCGGACCAGAGCCGGGTGAGAGTACGCTTCATAGAAAGCCATCGGCGATGCTAAAGCTAAAGAAGATGCTAACCGAGTGTGACCTAAAGTGAGCAAACGTTCACACGAAACAAATGGAGGTGAGTAGCATTCTTCCCCTGTTAGGTAATGTCCATCTATCTGTCTGGAGCGTCGACAAAATGTCGTAATGTTGACAAAATGTGGCGTTTGCGGACGCTAGCTATGCTAGCTTTCTGTTAGCGTATTAGCGGCCACCGCGCCACGTCCAGCGTCAAACGGTTTCCATGGCTGCCACCTTCAGCAGTCAGGCTGCGTTCAAGTACCGTTGGAGTTTATTCTAAAATCGTCTTGAGAGTAAAACTTTACCATAGGATGTTATTTTATTTATATATTTATGTATTGCTCTTTATCTTCTTATAATCTCTACAAATTTAAGTTTTTTTATTTTTCTCCATGTTTGATTTTTGTTTTGTCGGTTTGTTTTTGTCAACATTGCATGGCGTTGCAGCTGTAGGCAAACGGTCCAGTCAGTGGGTCTGGTTGCCCTACATTGTCGGGGAAGATTTGCTTCCAAAGCTGGAACATTTGATTTATTCGACTAATTCCTTCGTCACGAGAAACCATATCAGATTCGTTACACGGAGAGTGACGCTTCAAATGCGTCTTTTGACTCATTCAGATTAGAAACGACGACCCAAAAATCCTAAAACTAACAACAACCTCAGAAAATCTGAGTTCCAACAGATTTTGGTACTCGCTAAAGAAAGGCCTGCATGGCCTTAATACTTTGTCTGGCTTCTCTCTTTTTTTGGCATGAATTTGTAGATTCACAGTCGGATTGAAAATCGCCATTTTCTGCTGTAGTTTTTCCTTCCGCTCAACTTTCAAGAAATACGCTTTGACACACAGACAGTTCTGGTCAAACCCTCAAGTCAGCAGACTTCCCTGCATGTTTGCATGCATTTCATGCATATATGAGATGGACGCACACACAGACTGTCTGAGAGTGCGCCTGAACGCGGCAGCGCTCTGTCAGACGGTGACGTCACCCTGTGTCTGACGGGCGGCTGAAAGGCAAAGACTTCTTGTTGACGTTTTTTGTTTTGATCGCGTTTGTTTGGATGTTTTCATTTTTATCATTGTCACTGTTGTTATTTTTCGGACGTTTCAGCAGCATTCTCGGCGGATCCAGAAGCTCGCGCCGTCACGCCTCAGTGCGGGGATCCTGCAAAGATGAAATGGATGTTTAAAGAGGACCATTCCCTCGGTAAAAAGAGAAAGAAAAAAAAAAGAAAAAGGGATTGGATTGTGTTGTCACGCATCGTGATTCCTTCTTTCGTTTCTGTTTCTCAGTTCCCCGCATTCATATTTTATTTTTATTTTTTCTGATTTCCCCTCATTGGCGCATTAATGCACGTTTGTTTGTTTGTTTTTTCCCCCTCTGCTACCTGCAGATGAATGCTGAAAATCAATAATGGCTTGGGCTGTAGCAACCTATGATAACGCGCCTTTGCTGCAGGAAGGAGGCTCAGAAAACAAACGAACCAGCTGACTGCACCTTCAAATATTATCTCGTGTGCACGTCGTGATTTTATTCCTATTTTCAAGTCTAACGACTGAAGTTGGCCAGTTGAAATTGCATCGACCTGCTCCCAGACGCCGGGATCTGTGTTTTACACCCATTTGACCACCTGCTGTGATTTCTGTGACAAATTATTGAACTTCCACATATGACTAACAACGTTCCTGAGCTCAGCTTTTATTTTGAAACTCTCTTTAGATAACCTCCAAGCTCCTTTCTTTAGAGGAGCATCCCAAATTAGAACCTCTATGTAGGCTAATGAAGGCCTAAATGAGTCGTCCACATTTCACCACCTTCCTGACCTTTGATCATTTTCTGCCTGCTGTGGCAGCTTCTGGGCTCCGTGACAGCCCTGGGTACGCCCGATGAAAGGCTCCAGATTCAGAAAATATTGTACTTATGTGCATGAGCAAGCGTCAGCTTATCTCTCCGCTTGTTGTCTTGTGCTTTGTGGCACAAGGATCCCAAGAGGCCTCGCTCATCCCTTTAATCTCTGACTTCCTGTTTGTTTGCTGTCTCTCTCCCCCAGAGCACCGATGTGTGGAGTCGGCCAAAATACGCAACAAATACCCGGACAGAGTACCGGTGAGTGGAGGGGGAGGGAAGGCGCTCTTTGATTTTAAGGCCGCCGTGGTTCAGAAGAAGTGACAGAGAGTCGACGAATAAAAGCAGAGGCAGGGGATAGGCAGCTATTTATCACTTCTTTTCTTATGTAACGGTGTGGCCGTGTCAGTCTGCATTATTCCACAAATATTATGGATAAGATATTTATCTTATCTTATCTTATCTTATCTTATCTTATCTTATCTTATCTTATCTTATCTTGTCTTGTCTTGTCTAGGACACAAAGAAATATGATTTGCATCACTTAACATGACTTACTGTTGCTTTCTTTCAATTTGGCCCCTTGTATATGGCCTAAATGGGTTAGGGTGCCAAGTCCAGTGCGAGGGTTTGAGGGCAGGCCTTCATCTGGCCGCCGGTCGTGTTTTTGAGTTAAAAAAATGTTTAAAGCTGACAGGAAATTTGAAAACATCACCTGATATTTATGCTTTATTGGAAGACTGGAAGATTACTTCATAAACGTCAACAAAAAAGTCTTAAAAAACAGGCAATAATTTAAAAAAGAACTAAGATTAGTTAACAATACCAAGCCTGGTGGGGGCACAAGTGAAGCCTGGTGGCCCGCCAGGCTTATAATACACTGAGGGAAAACCTCAAACTAGTTTTTAGATGATGCGATGGTCACTAAGTTAACATTTCCTGATTTATGAGTTTTTTTTCTAAAGAACAGCTCAACTTATTTGTACTCTCAATGGCAGGGGTCCCCAAAGTGGGCCCTGGAGGGCCGGCATCCTGCATGTTTTATTCTCTCCTTGATGATAGTGACAACCTTTTCAGAATGTCAGTGCTCTTCTTGGGGCTCTAAAGATCCATCATGTGATCCAGGCGCGTTAAACCGGGGAGGGAACTAAAAGATGCAGGACGCCGGCCCTCGAGGACCCACTTTGGGGACCCCTGCTCTCTGGCTTATGAAAATCAAATTTTGTTGCATTGCTGCACATCTCATCCGATTTGCAAAAATGTATTTTATTGTAATATTAATATCAGCATGTGACACAGTGCAAATACACATTTATATTATCCCACCGGTTGGATTTACTCAGAAAATGTAATAATTATTCCCACTAAGTGACAAAGTCTCATCACCTTCATCTATCGTGATTTATTGCTCTGGATCGTCTTCTGTTGGGCCGCAGGGTGACTGTGAGATGAGCCGCACGGCGTTTGCCGCTCGCGACTCTTTGACTCATCAGACTGACGGCGGTGCAAAAAGATAGGCGTGGTACCGGCCGTAAAGCAGACACAGCTCTTCCGGCGGGATCCAGAGGTGTTTCCACCTCGATCCCTTCAGTGTGACACGGATCTGTCCCAGTATCTCCTCCCTACCTGGAGAGTCTCCCAGCATGACTCAGCAGAGTTTCAGCTCAGAGCGCTCGCCTTGCTTAAAACAAATGTACATGTGACAAGCAAGAACATTTGATAGATGTTGAATTGTGGCACCTTTTGGTTTCCGTCCTGCTCTATTCTGGAAAAGTCTCTCACTTATTCGCTGCAGCTAAATTAATCTCTTACCAACTTTGCATCGTGCTGCACAGATAAAACTCTGCATATCTAAACACGGGCGCTGTTATGTCTTCCTGACGACTTCAACGCAGTTGTTCCTGGTTCGATTCCTGGCTTCAGCCACTTGCTGCACGTCAGGCCCCCGTTTAACAAAGGTCGTCAGTGTCATAAAGATCGCTAAAAAAGGAGATGTTTGACCAAATCTTAGCAGGTTTATTTTGCATGCCGGATATATATGAACCTGCATCAATTACAAAAAATAAATAAATTCTAAAATTTTGTGCATAATTCTGCTATGGAAAAAGAATATTCCAATTTAATCAGAAAATATTTAAAAGGCTGCAGCATTTATGGTGATTGTATGCTTTGTAATATCATCAGCCAATCTTCAAATATCACCTTCAACAAAGCGCCCTGCCTCTTAGTGTTATTGTATTTTAATTAGACGTTATACTCAAACATTAAAGAAAATCCACTTCAGTTTTTCTGTGCATTGAATTAGACTTTAATTAAGTGACTTTTGTCCCAAATTCTTCTGTCTCAGATTCTGTCAGTACGGATTGGGGAAAGTTTGTTTGCTTCTTTTACAACAGATCAAGGATCCGCCAAACAGCCGCTGTGACGCAAAACGTTGGCCACATGAAAAGACTGCACATGTCCCATTGATGAAAAATATTCAGGCGCCTTCAGGCGTTGTTGATCTTGGCCCAGCTTTTAAGCCTCCTTGATGTCATTTTAGGAGGAGCAAAGACAAACAAGGTCAATGCATGTATCATTCCAGTTTGCACAGGGATCAAATGGTGACGCTTGGCTCAGGGCCCAACGGTGGCATTTGATCCAGGAACTTTGACTGACAGCCACCAGAACAAACAGTTTACATAAGCAGACAAATAAAAAGCCTTCTGAATAAACAGCATAATCGTCTTGTTGGAGCGCGCGTCTGACCTCTCAGGGCGGCTTGCTGTCTGGCCCCCCAGGTGATCGTGGAGAAGGTCTCCGGCTCTCAGATAGTCGACATCGATAAGAGGAAGTACCTGGTGCCTTCGGACATCACGGTGGCCCAGTTCATGTGGATCATCAGGAAACGCATCCAGCTGCCTTCGGAGAAAGCCATCTTCCTCTTTGTGGACAAAACTGTCCCCCAGTCCAGGTGAGAGCCACACAGGTGACCCCACAGCGGGTAAACACGAGAACAGGTGCTGCAGACTGAGGATGGAGTGAGTCCCGGTGATGCGGTCGTGTTATTTCTAGTGGACAGTAACGAGGTGACGTAATTAAAGCCGGTTTTAACGTATTCTGGGTGTGAAAATCAACTCGCAGATCCTTTAAGGTTACTAATTATGCAAACTGAGTGCTAAACTAGTGAAAGGTTTTCTTTTGCGGATGCAAGTTCATTTGCAAGTTTATCCACTCGCAAACACTCGTATTTGCCGAGTGTTTATCCACCCATCTAACAATAGAGCTGGAAGTTTCCAACAATCCCCTGTTTTTTTTGCGTGAGGATTAGGCCCCACCTTTGGGTTCAGTTTGTTTAATCCCTAACTAACTCCGTTTTGAAATGTGTAATGTTTGTCATTTCACCTCTTTAAACATCATCACAACCAGATGTTTACTTAAAAGCTGTACTAAAACACACATCAGCTTTTATTTATTTTGTTTTTGTATTGATTTTTGCGACATTAGATCTGATTAATCTTTACCTGTTTAGAGTTAGAATTAGCACATTTATTTTTGTTTGGTTAAATGCTTGAGAACTTGTTGGTACAATCCAGATGTTTACGTGCGTCACCGCAGTGTTTCTGAAGGTTGTGTGTTAAACTACGTGAGGCTGTTCAAAGGTCTTTCAAGCCTTTGGCCCATTTCTCCTGGGAGAACTGGTGGAGCTCAATGAGATTTACAAGCCCCCCCTTTTTTTTTTACACAGATTTTAATTTTTGGTCATTTGCAAAGTTTTCACTTTTTTTGGAATAACTTCCTTATGGAGTGGTCTTTCGTGCCATGACTGTCTTCTACCTCTTCTTTTGCACGGCGTGACGGCGCTCGACTTAAACGTTAGGAAATCAATGTTTCTAAAGCCAGGTCGTTATCATCTGGGCTTTTTCGCACTGCTTACAGGGATACTAATATTGACGTATGTAAACTGAATGTAGAAAGAAACTCTTTAAAACAATTAGTTTTTATTATTTTGGTATTTAGCAAAATTTGAAGGATCTGATATCAGACCATAAACCATAAAGGTAGCATTTTCTTTTTAATTCTTGCTGAATTTTTGGTAGTTGTCACTTGTTGTAGCATTGCTACAAGTGACAAAATCCACCATAAGTCTAGAAAGTTGCCATCGTGAGATTGTTTCCAATCCAGTCTACTTCCCATAATGACTCTCTTTCCTCAGATGAAGCATAAATAAAACAAACCCACGACCTCCATGAAACCTGTCCCGTTTACATCAGTTCTTGATCAGAGTTTCAGAGCCTGAACCTGCAGCAGTGTGCGCCTTCAGACTGGAGGCGCGACCTCGGGTCATGTTTCTGTTTTGTGCCGCAGTCTGACGATGGGCCAGCTGTACGACAAGGAGAAGGACGAGGACGGCTTCCTGTACGTGGCGTACAGCGGAGAAAACACGTTCGGTTGACGCCTCAACGAGCCTCCAGCCTTCTCCCTCATGCACACACACACGCACACACACACACACACACGCACACACACACACACACACACACACACACACACACACACACACACACACACACACATGGAGAGGGGCCTGACAGCAACACGGCCCTTCACTTGTGATATTCCAGTAACGCCCACACACTTCAGTTGTCAATACTGAAATACGTACATTTATTGGGTTAAAAAGCAAAATGCTCCATTGTTTTGGGTCTAGTTTGGATGATTAGACACACAGAGAAAATACTCGACTGTTAAGGACAGACAAATCTGAAACACTGCCGTTAAATCCGACACACACGTCACAGACACACCTGCGTGAGACTAAAAGAGGAAAAATAGTAGATAAACCCAGGAAAGCCACCTTCATCCTCCCTCCCGTCTCTGTTGCTGTTTTGTGTGCATCCAAAGCAAGAAAGCAACTGTGACCTTTAAAGGTCAAGCTCGGCTTGACGGCCGGCGAGTGAAACGGGCTTCAGTGCTTCCCAGGTTTAGATTTGCACATTGCGGTCACCAATCTGGATCCAGAGCGCATGAGGATTTAAACTTTACTTGAAGCCAACTGTGATATTTATCTGCTGGCAGGAAGAAGGCGTATTATTCTGCAGAACCTCAGTCATGTAAGAGGCGACAGAGAAGCGAAGAGACAGAAATAGTGGTAAATGCTCCTTTTATTAGGTTCGCTGCTGTTCCCTTTTTGGAATCTTTCTGCACCGTTGATTATGAATCCATAATTTATTTGGACGAAATTTAATGAAGTGTCTCAGAATATGTAGGATAAAAAAAATTGGAAGACTCAGATTCGCTTTCAATTTTATTTTATTATTATTTTTGCATGCATCAGTCTGACAGAAGTTTGTTTTTCGCAGCTAGTATTTGTTAGGTACTTTTAAGTTATTATAGGTACATTCACTCTAACAACACAAAGTTTATTTTTTCTTTGTGGCACTTTGGTTTCAAAGTATCCAGATGTGAAAATAAAGAGATTTGATGAAACCTGTTTTCGCTGAACACTAAAACTGTTGGCCAAGAGTTTAAAAGGATTCATCATCACGGTGATTATCGAAATAGTTTTGTGAATTTAATGCTTTCTGTCGGGATGATTTTAACGAATTAAAACAGATCACTGACTGGCCACCAGAAAAGTTGATTGGCTTTATATTTATGTAAATTGCAGCAATTATATGTATTCATTTTTTTTTTCTCCTTGGATTTCTACACTTCAGTTAGTGAAGAGTAAACTATATGCTAACAATGACATATCTTCAAATTAGTTCTTATTTTTGAACTAAATAAGAACTGCTTGGCAGGAAGCACCCAGAGAGATTCTGGGACATTTTAATGGGACGTGTGAGTCATAAAAAAATGGGATTTGTCACAACACGTTGCTGATTTTTTTTAAATTAGAATTTACAGCAGAAATCAATCACTCAGTAACAGAGGAATAGTTTTTAATGATCTTGCTCACGTGGAGCATGGAGATATGATTTCTCTGGTTAATTTACCTCTCTTCTCTCAGACAACGTCAGCTGACATTTAGTTTGCTTTGGTGCTGGGAAATCCTGGCTGAGCCTCACAGAGACGAAACCGCCGCTCAAAAATACCGACGGAACGAGAAGGCGTGTTGCTCCTCCACCATCATCAGACACGCGCTGCACATGTGAAGGGATTTTCCACATTTGTAAAATGTATGTAGCCAGATGAAATGATCAATAAAGATAATAAGCTGACTTCAAAGTCCATCTTCTTTACAATAAACTCGGCTGCATTTTTCAGTTTCTCTTTGGTCTTGTGCGGGAATGCTGACGGGTAAGAAACGCACAAAAAAAAAAAATCTGGAAGTTTCTGGCGTCACGTATGCATTGTGCTCTGATAACCCGCAGAGCCGATTCACAAGCTCTTCTTGTGAAGTTCAGGTGCTTCCATGCCAATTATCAGTCATCCATTAAAAGCACGTTTTAATTGGACTATTTCAACTATGGCAGTTTGTCACATTTAAAGGAAACGGTGCAACAAAATCAGAGTGCAACGCTGATGAACCAAAATATGCATAATCAACATCTACCCAAAGACATCCTGTCCAACATGCTGAGAGGAACATTTGCCTCCTTAGCGATTCATTCTGGTTATGACCAGACACATTTTTCACTAGTTAAATTATGGGCTTAAGTTTGATTTCCTGGCTTCCTGATTGCTGCAGGAAGTCACTGTAACACAACCTGGCTGACATGAAGTTGGACAAAAGTTGCTCAAAAGGCAACACGTCGCGTCCCAATTAGGGCTGAAACGATTCGAGTACCTCGATTATTAAAATCCCTCGAAGCTTCGTTAATTTACAATTTTTAATTATATGGCAGGAGAGAGTTCATCTACGAAACTGACAGAAGATGAAAGCCTGCCTCTTAATTATTGAATTTAATATAACTTCAGATCTTTGGATTACTTTTCTTCTTCAGGTTCACTCAGAAAGTGAGCTGCTGTTGTGACAGGTCAGTTTTATAAACTACAGAAAACTGTTAGGGAAGCTCAAAAATGCAAAACTGGACCGATAGATATCGGTTCACGACTCGGCAACAAGAAAGAAACTCGCTTGGCAAAAACAGAACCTAAAAGGTCGATCTCAAGTTTCCTGGAAATATCTCAACTGTCCATAAATCTTGCAACTCAGGGAAGCAGCAGATAGAGATCACTGATTTCATTCTGCTGTCTGTGGGAGAAAGACAAGGAGAGTTTGATAATCAATGCGGCGAAGTGACAGGTGCAGGCGGGTCCGTCCCAGCTGTGTTTTCAGAGCGCTCTTGCGACGTGAAAATAAAGCGGCCACATGCAGACATCAGTGGGACGGAGCGGGACGTCCCGCCGTGGGTCCTGAGCCGCAGAGCAGCTGAGCCAACAGACAGCCGGGGGGGAGAGCGACGCTTTGTCTCTGGTTCTGCCGTCCTCGGCTTGAAATCAGAGTTTTCTGCTGGCCGGGCGGCTGTTCCAGCACGTGACCCTGCGGGCCCGCGCCGCGACAAAGCCGGTTTTTCACCGAGCCCGACGAGGACGCTCCTGCTGCGGAGTCGGCTTTCAGCGGAACAGGAGGAGGTTTCTGTCGCTGCGAGGCCACAGAGGGAAGGCCTGCAGGCGCAGCTGCCGCCAGGCCTGCTGGTACGACTGGGCGGCCCGCTTATGGTCCCAGTAGGTGTGCAGCTCTCCCGACCTGAGCAGAAAGAAGAACGAGGGTCGGACTCTTTGTGCGCCTGTATTTTAAGAATTACTCACCGAGCTGCGACAAATGGACGGGAATGAAAACGGCGGAAGGTGCCGGGATGAGTAACATTTTCCTTCGCGGGACCCCATGAGGTTCCCATGAGGCAGGAAAAGCCTCATGGGATGTTTGCATAGTGTGTGTACTCGGAGCAGACTTCCTAAAGTCATCCGAACAGGATGACTTTAGGATGACTCCGGTGAAACTGGGACATGTTTCTGAATTAAGTAGCTGAAGTTCCTTCTCATGATCTGTCATTCATGACAGTCAGATGCGCTAACGTTGCCAAAACGAGGAATTCAGAGCAAACGTCACCAACAACTCGAGAAATCCCACAGGTATGGAAACTGATCTAATCTCATCTTAACAAATGTAACTGATTTCATAAAATGAAACTCGTACATTTTGTCTTTGCGCTCAGGGTGATATGTTTAATTCAAAACATGTTCTATTTATGATCATGGTTTATGAAAATTAAAAGCTTAGTTTGAAGTTGTGAAAATGTTCTGCGATGGCAAACACAAGATTAATGGAGGTTTCACCGACTCACTTATGAGACGTTTACGTTTGAAACTTTAGACACGTATCAGATAAGAAGCTGGACAATATTTCTATTGTCTGAGAAACCAAACTAAAGTCAGTTTATCCATCGTCAATAAAAATAAGTTGAAATATGGAACTTTTTTAATCGATATTTGAAACAAATTAAAGAGTTTTGATGCTATTCTAATGTACTGAGACGCGATCTGTGATTTATTTTATTCTCCAGCGATCACTTTTCATGCAGCTGCACGGTTTGGATCTAAATCATCAGAACAACAATTCACCTGCACCTTCTTCCTGTCACTGCATAGTCAAGAAAACGTCCTGGCGACCCTTTGGTACGGCAACCACGTTACTGGAAGCTGCGGTTTGGTTTTCAGGTGGGGAATAATGAGCGACTTGTGCGCAGAAAGCAGCGGATCAGGTTCTGTGCAGACGCGTCGAGGAACACAGGAGCCTCTGTTTCTCCTTCGGAAAAGATTCCCAGCCGTCAGCACACAATGTGAGCCTGCTTACACGGACCCAAACAGACTCGTGTTTCTGTTGTTTCAGGGTATTGATTCGGAGCAATGCAGAGATACGTAAAAGTATTGAATTTTGTCTTCAAAGCGTCCTCATTTAGTGGCAGAAAACACTTTGGACATTCTGGGATCTGCCGGTGAAGAACATTCTGACGATGGCTCTATGCAAACTGACCCAAATAGATATGATTATAGGTAAATAACATGAGAAATATGTGAACAGCCACAGCCTCAGGCAAACTGAAGGAGATGATCACATAAAATCTGGTCAGTAAAAACTGAATTTGACTGTTTTGCCTTTTAAGGGCTTAAATACGGACCCAGATTCACAGGTAGTCGGATTTAAAAGCAAGTGAAGCATGATTAGCACAACACAGACATTCACTAACTGTACTGCAAGTACAAGTATTCGGTGAAAATTTCTGACCAAAATAATTAACAGCAGAGCTTAATATCTGAGCATCGGGATGGATTTAGTGACAAAACGAGGTGCAGTGCAAAAATAAGTTGCTAAGACAGGAAAAAAAAAACATTTAAATCAGGGTAAAAATATTTTCAATTACACTTAAATGGACTTTAACACACTTCTTGGGTATTTTTATTGAACAACATTAATAAAAAATAAGAGAAATCTCTGATTTCTGCCGGATGGGAAAGTCAGTTCGTCACCTGAGAGAGTCGGGCAGAGCCGAAGGGTCGGTGGCCGCGACGAGAGACAGGAACGAGTGAAAGAGCTCCAGTTTACACAACAGAGACCTGAAGACACAAAACGACACGAGGAAACCTTGATGACACAGGAACAGCAGACAACACTTGAACTAAGAGCCTGTGAGGCTCCTACCTGGCTTTCGGTGTTCCCAGGACTTTCTTCGTGACGCCATGTTTGTAGCCGTTGGCGGTGACATCGAGTGGCTGATCCGCAACATTACACCAGCTGATGGCTGAAAGACCAGAGACACGGAAAACGACATTAAATGTCTTTTCTTTTCACACTTAAATCCTTTTTTCTTATATAGAAAATCATTATTCAAGATGTATGCAGCATTTTATGTAGATTCTAAAAAAAAAAAACCCAAATCAATTTCTTCTCGCTTGATATTTCTACAATCTTTTTCTATTAAAGTCAGTTTTTCCACTTTCCGAACACAAAATAAATGTTTTTATGAACACAAACACTAGTTATTGCTGCAAACACCAACTGTGCAATCTATTTGAAACTCTTTCTCAGGCTCAATCAGGCTGGATAATCAGCTTCTGTCAACATAATTTTTCAAGTTTCGCCATAAATTCCAAAGTAGGTTTAGGTCTGGACTTTGACTAGGCCATTCTAACTATGAATGTGCTTTGATCTGAATCTCTTGCGGGACTGCAGTGGCTGTCATCCTTCTCTAAATACAGAGGCCTCTACCGGTGCTGATGTGGAGTATCCAGAAATGTACTGATCAGATTTCCCCCTCCAGTTTGTGTAAAGCCTTCATCTGCTGACAACTATGATTTTCATCAGCTACGCCACAAACATAAAACCGCATATGCTTCCTGTTGTCTACTAAAGGTCTCGGTGACGTGTTGACATGTCATAGAAAAAGAAGCCGTTTTAGTCTTTATGGGAACGGCTTCCTGGATGGGTTATGGTGCCTTCACTGATCAGAGTTTTCTACCAATCTCAGTCAGTTCTCATCAAACTGAACATTGGAAGAGTTGGAGAGGAGATCCATTGGTGGATCTCCTCGTTAGTTTGGATTTCTTTCTGGTTTCCCATAGCCTCACTAATATCTCAGACCTCCAGACTAGCTCCCGCCAAGACTGCAGCAGTCATCCAAGTTTTATGTGTTCAGTGATGGTGATTGTGGGGGAGAGCTGACCCGCTCCACACGGGGAGATGCGTCCCTGTCCGCCCTGGCGTCGGAGCTCGGTTTGGTTCTGGCTGAACTGGAACTCCAGGCTGGACTGCAGCAGCAGCGGCGAATGGACAGAGAAACCAGCAGGAAGCTCTGAAACGCGGGAGCACCTGCAAGTAGAGGGAAATGACCCACAAAGAAGACTTTAACTGCGCTCTGTGTCTGTTCTTGGAGGAACCGATGAGCTCCGCTTTAGCGGCCTGGTTTCCTGCTACTCAAACATAGCCCAGAATTTTTGAACAGTGTGGACGTCAGGGCTTTGAATAGGACATTGGGGTCCTCTTTTTCAGTCATCTCGCTGTACAGTATCACTATTTTAGCATTCAGCATGATGCTGCCATAACTAAGCTACAGCACGCTGATACAATATTTCGAGGCTAGTCTGTGGTCTTCTACAGTAAACGTTTTGAATATTGTTAAAAATAATAGTAAAATCACTAAAAAGTGAAGCACTTGGCCTTCCTCCAGCAGAATAAGACTCTGCAAGCCGCGCACCTGGTGACCAGCGCCCTGTGCATGACTTCCTGGCTGTACGGACACTTGCCCACCACCACCGTGTCGAAGTACAGCGCCTCCTCCAGGTAATGAGACAGCAGCGCACCCTGGAAGCCCAGCACCCCCCAGCGGGCCAGTTTGTCGCTGCAGGACAGGGACAGAGTCGGCTCTCCTCGACCCGGCTTCACACGGAGGACCCCGGTGCTGTGGTAGGCCGCCCCGGGCCGCAGCGGGTCGGCCGGGCCTCCCGGGACACACTTGGCGCCCGTCCTGTGAACGTCTCCGACCGGTTCGGCGTCTGACGGCCTCGAGTCTGCGGAGTCCCCTGGTTTGAGCTCCGATGCGGGGACAGACGCGGGGACAGACGCGGCTCCGTCAGGCGATTTAGTCCTGGATTCAAACCGGCCCGTTTCTCCTTCTCTCGTCTCTTCCTCTGCGAGCCGAGGCAGCTTCGAGTTCCCTCCATCGGCGGGTTCCTCCACTTTCCTTTTCAAGTTCCGTCGTCCGTCCGGCTCCCCGCAGCTGCTCAGGGACGTGACGGGGGGACAGGGCTGGGCCTGGGGGTCCGTCATGGGGATGATGGACGCGTCACCGCCTGGGGATGAAAAAACAAGAGCCTCAGAAACCTCCAGACCAGAGTTTCCTTGGTGACGAACTAGTAAAACATGTGAAACCTTAAGATTGACTAAATTTATTTCAATGGTGAAATGAATTCTGGATTTGGCTGTAGTCGTTCTGTCGCTAGACATGAAGATATTGCAAACAATAACACTTTCCCAGCTCACTTAGAGCTTGTTGAGCTCAGTGGGAGCACACTGGACTCACAGGGAGTGTGACTGGTGAAGAGCAGGAAGGAAACTCCGGGCCGAAGCCTCCACTTCCCTCTCCGGTCCGCCGGGCGAAACAGCGAGCTGCAGCGGCCACTCACGGCTGCGTGAAGCTCCCGGATCAGATACCTGCACAGAAATCCGTCCGCTCTGAGCTCAGCGTGGAGAAAACGTCCACGGAGAAACGTGACAGGGAGGAACCGGGCGGTCACCTGACGCAGCCTCTTCTGGCGACGACCTCAGCGTGGCTGTCGTTGAGCACGTCACCTGATGCAGAAGACGGTTTTCATTTAAAGTCGAGACGGCTCGTCTCCACGCTGAGTCCAGACCTTAACAGGGACTAAAATGCTGAGGACGTTTTAAAGCGACGTCCAAAGCAAGTGTTTGAATAACAAATGACGTCAAACGAAAGAAAAGCAGGATGGCACAGACCAGCGGCGCTCATGGCTGCCTTTCCGATGCACTTAGTCCCGGTTCCCAAGGAAACGACCTCCATCTCCACTGGAAAACAATAAACATTTCATTTTACATGTCAGAGATCAAAACTTTTATGTCAAGTTTTTACATTTCAAACCACCTCTTTACAGTGAGAGATGAATCACATGCTGATGCCTCACAATCCCGCCAAATCCACTATTTCTTCTGCGGATGATTTGTTTTTTCCTTCCACTAAACTTTCCCTCTATATGCTTGAGACAAACCAATCTCTTTCTCAATGACCCGTTTTCGGTATTCCCACTTCCCACTGGGTTTCTCCTCCATGTTCCAAACACAAAGGTTTTTTTTCCACTAATTTCATGACATTAATTAAAATAAATTATTTAAATTAAATGTTGAATTGAATTAGCCGAACGCCAAATCGGATTCTGCGCAGTCACAAACTAAGATAGCTTTTAGAAACACGGAGTTATTCATCGTCGCAGTGAGGTGGTGGCTGGTTCTGCTCTCTGACCGGAGTCGGAGTTTGGTCTCCGGGTGACCCGGAGCGCAGCGGCCAGCAGGCTCCACTCTCTGCCCGGCTCGGGCTTCCCTCGGCGGGGCAGCTGGCGGAAACGCTCGAAGCACAACTCGGCGACTTCGTCCGCATCGATCATGTCGAACAGGAGAGGAATCGCTCAGAGGCGGTCAGGTCGCTGCTGGTCGCGTGTCGACCGAGCCGCGAGAACCAGTTTGAAAACGTCTCCAAAACAACGGAGGAAGTACTTCCGGGGTGAGAGGAAGGCGGGATTTCCACAATAAAAGCCCCCTGTTGTTATCGCTTATCCCTCTTTCTTAATCTAAAAGTAGAAGGGCAGAAAGTGATCTTTAATGTTGCAGAATATATATGTAAAAAAAAAAAACAACCAAAGAGCAATTCTCATATCCAAAACTATAACATAGGGAGGAATAATAGAAAAGAAATGCGACCACATGACCTATTAGGTGATGTGGTCATAGGTCATAGGTCATGACCAGTTTGTTTGATTCTGGGCCCACCACTTGGTATCAATGTTTCCTTGTAGCAAGAAGGTCTGAAGAAGGCAAATCTGTTCAACTCAAGGCCTGGGGGCCAAATCCGGCCCTTTAGACTCTGAAGAATTACATCGCTTGAACTTTCAAGACAACAGATCTGTGCTTAAAATATTTTTATTGAATCAAAGCAATTTTTCTCTTATAGTGGCAAATTACATCAAGAACAGTAAAAGACAGCGATTTATAAATATTTTAACTTTACTAGTTTGATCACTGCATTCTGCCACCACTGGCCCTTTGAGACATTCGTGACCTTGAAACGGACCCGAATTGAAAGAGTTGGACTCCCTCCCTGCTCTATGGTGTTTGTCTCCGAGTTCCCCTGTGACAGGCTGACATCCTGTCCAGGATGTACCACCACTGGAAGCAGGCAGATGATTTTTGCGTTGTAGTCCAGTTCCGTCTCCTTTTAGCATTCAGGCCTCGTCTTTGATGTCCTGTTGCACCTCCGAGGTATTTTCCAAATCCAGACGTAGTCTCAGCCATCGGCCACTTCGTATCTTTGCTCAGTACGATTTACAGCTACTTTCCATCGCTCCCAGCTCAAGACTGGAACCTCTGTTGGCAACGGTTGGGGATGACATGACAACAGTTTGTTTGTGTTGCTGCATCCCAGCATCCATTTCCAATTACTGAAAGCCTGCCGGCCAAACCACAAACTGCGTCTCGATGAGGGGAAAACGCCGCCGGCTCCGGCACAGCTCTATCTGCTCCAACAATCACTGGCTAGTTTTAGTTTGTAGATTCAGAGGCACTGGGTTTGATTACGGTCAACGTTGTTCACATTCCCTTTGATGCTCTGAAAATTGAAAAATCAAGTTGCGTTTAAACCAGGGGTCCCCAAAGTGGGCCCTCGAGGGCCGGCATCCTGCATGTTTTAATTCTCTCCTTGGTGGGTAGTGACAACCATTTCAGAATGTCAACGGTCTTCTTAGGCCTCAAACAGCCATCATTTGGTTCAGGTGCGTTAAATCAGGGAGACGCCTGGTTTAGACGAAGAACTGCTAGAACTGATTGTAGGCCTACTAAAAATGAAATTGCCTTCAATTTCATTTCGAGGAGCATCGCCTGTTTTCATCTCCAAGCAGCCGCCTCCCTCCAAATAATTCACCCCAGCTCCTTCCTTGGTATCAACACATTATGTGTTGGAACAAAAGCAGCTTCGGTCAGTGAATCCATCTTGTTTAATAAAGTTAGAAAGGGCAAAGGTGAAGCTGGGATTAGGCCCGTCATAATAAATTAATCGCACTACAAATTAAAAGAAACTCAATCATTTTTCATTTGCTTGATTTGTCCTTTATCTCTTTTTACAAAAAAACTGAATAACAAAAGTCAGTTTGGTGTTTAATTGATTTTATTTGTTTTATTCATTTTGGATATTTAAAATTTCTTCCAGTTCTAGTCTTTAAATAATATAATTTAAAGGTTATTTATATTTGAGGATGTGTTCCTGCATGATTGTGCCATTATTACTATTACTTGAAAATGGTCTCAAAACAACAATACTGTCGTTTATCGCAGTAAGTTCTGGGACAATTTATTGTCCAGCAAAATTTGTTGTTGTGACAAGCCAACAAGTTACTAAAAACTAATAACACATACATTAGTAAACACAATAATGCACCCAAAACCTGCAGCCACCTTTACTATCGATCACTGGGAGCAATTGCTGTCCTGATCTAGTTGTAGAAAGGATGAATCAACTCCGTTTACGATTGAAGGCTCATTTATTTAGGGCCTGTACAAGAGAAAATGCAGACTTTTAAAATTAACATAGAAATAAAAAGTAAAATCACATCTCCTCTCTCTAGCCTCTCTAAAGGAGGTGCAGTAGTTCCAGTTAGCCTCTCGGATGTGTTCCTCTCTTTAAAACGCTAAAAGTGTTTGTCTCTGGTAGATATGTTGCGCTGCATTCGGGGTTAACTGTGCTGTGGCTGTGGAGCGGCATTGAAGCTTTAATGCCGCCTGGTTTCGGTGCGGTTTGTAAGCTCAGAGTGGTGCTGTCAGCGCGTTCTTGTCAAATTTAGACAATTACAATAAAGTGAGCGTCCACACACAGAGTGTCCATTCGCTCTCGGAGCAACTGTGCTCCAACTTCAACTCCCCCTCCCCATCAACAGACATCATCTGATTGCAAGTGAGCGGCTTGGTGAGACTGCAGCCCTGTGATTAACAAATGCAAAATAGGATCGATAACAAAAACAAGAAACTATTTTGTTGCTTTAACGGCTTCACTCCTGTCCGAATCCCTCCGTCTCCTCGATGGCGAACAGCAGCTTCTCTCTGAGCTGCTCCAGGCTCCGGTAGGGCGGCAGATCCAGACGGTTGAAGCTGAAGAGAACAGAAAACAGAGCAGCCAAGTTATGCATCCGGGTTAAGACGCCCCCCCTGCTGGACCGTAACTACACATTTTCAGGAGGAGGAATGATGAAGTATTGTGCCTACAGTGAAGCACGACTCAGTAGAGAACTAGAGCTGCCTTGCTTTCTCTGACACTGGAAGCCTGCAGCCAGTCACGTATCAGGACATCCTTGGAGAAAATGTCACTCCGTCCGTTCAGAAACTGAAGTTTGGGAAGCATTAGACTTTTTTCTGATACCAAAGAAATCTGAAAATCTGCAGAGGATTGTGGCCATCGCGGTCGTCGAAATGGATCTGGATTTAAAATCTCCGTTGGGATTAAAAAAAGATAGTTACATCCAGTTGAATAAATGAATGAATTTCTTTTCACAGCAAAACCACACAAGGAGGCGCCAATATCTACTGAAACGGTTAAATAATTTTGAGACTTCAATAGACATTATAAGTGCCACTCTGGGTTCGTCGTGAGAAAACGGCTTACGATATTAGTCATGTAGAGCTATATAAATCACATGTTTATGCCTTTGGCCAGAACATGTGGGTAAAATAACTCATTTCAGCTGTATGCATTAATGTCTTATGTTTGACAATCCAGCATTGTTCTCATTCAATGTATAAAAAATGTGTTCCTCATCAGTGAGACAATCCGTTCAGCAAATCCTGTTTCTAAAGAGTCACTGCTTCGAGAAGAGAAGTTTTGAGGTTTTCAGTCCGTTTCTCACCATGTGTGGCTTCTTGGAAGCCAAGTCTCCTTCCCCACTCTGTCTATGCAGAACTTCTGGGGACCGTTGCTTCCTGCAGGGACGAAGAGGAGAACAAAACTCATCGCACTTTCTTCTGGAAACGTAAATGAAAATGTTTCACATTTTTTCCTTTTCACCGATGTGACAGTAAACTCAAGGAGCTCGTTGTCGTTTTCTATGAGTAACTGAGCGATACTGTTGCTGACAGTTGGAAAAAAACAAAACAATCAAATCTCCACTTTTTTATCAAAGCAACTATTTTGTCTGATAGAAATAATCCGGGGCCTCATGCATTCAAGAGTGCGCAGTTTTCACACTACAACTTGCCGTACGGAAAAAATTTAGAGAAGTGCGGTGCACAAAAAAAATTTGGATGCATGAAGCCGTGCGCACCTTTCCTTTACGCAGTTGCTGGTCCGTCCTGTCGCCTCCATAAATACATCTTAATGTAAACTAGTACAAATACCTGGAAGTATGCCACCAGGTGAAGCAATAACGATGGCAACGTCCTTGTTCGTAGCAGTTTAAGTATTTGTAATAATAGTAATTATATATATTATTTAAAAGGTGCTTTCAGGGAGCATAAGGTAACTTCACAAAAATGTTTTCACGCCAGCGAAAAAGTGTGCGCATATTTACACAAACTTAGACGCAAAGTTAATTTCTGTAGACTTGTGCGTAAAACATCAACTTTTTTTGTGCGCACACACTTTATGCATGAGGCCCCTGGTCCTTATGAGGTTCTGAGAATTGTTTAAATCCAACCTTATCAATCAGAAATAGTCAACAGATGGAACATTGTCATTACTGACTAAATACAAAAGAAAAAAAAAAAGCACGAGTGGAAAACAAGACAGATGCTTCCATGGGAGTTAGGCAGCGAAGTAGCACAGAGGAGCGCTGGACGAATGAGAAATGTCTAGAACAGCAGGAGCATCTCAAACAGCATCATGTGAAGGATGAGACCAACTCAGCTCAATAAACTGAAGCGTTGCTATAAAGAAGAGCTGGAGACGGATGAGGTCAGACAGAAAATGACTTCTGAGAGTTACTGGATCCTGGGGAATACTTAGTTTTTCATACACAACGTTCCCCATGTGTTCGCCTCGTCCTGATCAAACACAGCGTGACTCGTCTCATCCCGGTGTACCTATGAGCTCGGTGAAGCCTCCGACCGGCAGCCGACAGGTTCCCGTCACGAACTGCAGCAGACGGATTCTCTTCTCGTTGTCCATCTCTTTCACGACCTGCACGTCAGTCACACAATGAAAGCGTTTTATTATCTTTCGTCCCTGAAGATTCTTGGCTAATTCCAAGCCTCAAGTCAATGTTTGGGATTCCTTCAGCGTGCGGTTGATTAAAGGTGTGCAAGTGCGTACGTTTGGACATCGTTACCTGCCAGAACCAGTGGAT